ACATCTCAAGGGGACGCCTTTGGGATATAATCATTTACATAGAACCTAGGGACCCTTTTATCCAGGAAGATAAAAGTCATTTTTATTATTAATCTTTGACCATAAGTCAGCAGGTAGGCTGTGTGTCATATATATATAAATAAAGGAAACTTGACTGTAAATCAGTGGGTAGACTGTGTGTTGAGCTATAAATAACCTATTAACTAGGAAACTCGGATTGCATGCTCGCAATATCAAGCCTTAGAGAAGCTGTGCTACAATCTATGGAATGGGATTTTCATTTCAACCAACAAACACACTTTGATTATGACTGGATTAGATACACAGTGTATACCCTGTGAGTACTGCTTTTTGGATTTAATAGAATATTTTTTGGATTCTAATTATTCTATTTATGGGACATGTGAATATGAAACATGTAGTTTAAAACAAAATCATCTGGAGTTGTGGTATCTGGTGCATAACTGGAGTTATATAGATAGAGCATTTGAGGACATTGATGGAATTGAAGCTGTGAGGTGATATCAATTGGTCTTTTTTTTTTTTTTTGCAACTTTTATCCTTAAACTTTTTCTGATCTATCTGTCTCAGAGGCGAATCCTGTAGCTTAGCATCACCTCAAAGGAAAAATCGTGAAAGAACTGTGGCTGCTGTATCAGCACTAAAAAGAAAAACATTAGGAAGGAGAGGCGATTTAATTATTTGTAAGATCATGACAGAGTACAGATGTTCAGAGGCAGGATGGTTATATGAGGGAAACAATGACACCAGTGTTGTACATGGGACATGTCTGCCTAATATTGAGTGGACATGGACATGTCTTGAGCAATGTCCAAAAATGTCTTCGTAACAATTTGTCATGCTCATTTTCTTAAATGTCCCAGACTGTCCGGGGCCAGTAGTACAAGCCACAAGTTAAATGTGAGAAAATGCCTTTACCATCTTTATTAACTCAACATATTATTAAAACAATATAAAACTAACCAAAACAATTCAAAAACGTTTTGTAAACATGCATTGAAAAATTAGGAGAGGAGGAAGGGAAGAAAAAAAGGTTTCCAAACAAAAAGGATTGAATAATTCGGCATTTAATTAATTAAATGTTTCTATATTAATAATCCAGAGCCTTGCTTTAGAGTAGAGGCAGAAAGTTAATATAAAATTATTTTTTTACAAATAATTCATTTGTAATAAACATTTTC